TCAGTGAGATCCGACGCCTCCAGATCCAACGTCTTTCGGTGGTCGACTACATGATCTTCCGGCGATCCTTGATCCACGATCTCTGCCTCCAACACTTGTTGGATCCGCACTTGGGTAGTCACCTTCACCATTGCGGCAAAGTCAATTTCTCGCAGTTCGTAGAGGACTGACACATAGATCGCGTAGTCTTCAATAAATCGACTGTAATAGTTCAGACTTCCCAAAACTGACTGCATGGCCCTAAGTGATCCTGGAAATGCTAGATCCGTCAATGCCGACAGGGCTTTCGGGTTCGCCTCCAGTCCACTGTGGGAGACCTTATGACCCAGATATTCCACCTAGGGCATCCCCCAGAAGCTCTTAACCACGCTGATCGACAGATTCCACTTATCACACGCTTCAAGTAAGCCTTCGACTCGGTCACATAGTTGATCCCAGTTATTGGCTGGAATCAGAATGTCGTCGATATATGATCTACGCCCAAGCACCGATGGCTTGCCTGGATCCACCGGTTCTCCCTCCTCAAACACATCCAAAGTACTTCCGTGATCTTCAGACTTCGGGATCCGGGTGAACCCATATAGCGCGTTGTCGATCATACGTTGATAGATCTGAGGCGCATTCTTCAAGCCAAAAGGCATTCGATTTCACTCAAATGTCCCAAAAAGAGTGATAAAAGCCGAGATGAAACGAGCACCACCCGTCATTTCACTACCCAAAATCCACCTGCCATATCCAAAGGACAGTACCAAGGTGTCGACTCCAGATCTTCAAGTAAGTCGTTGATCAAGGGCATTGGGTAGATCATCAGTTGAGTTAGGCTGTTAACCAACCGATAATCAATGCACATCCTGATATCCACTCCGTTCTTCTTGATGATCACCACGATCGGGGAGGCCCATGGTGATCTAGAGTAATTGACCATCTTGGCAGACAACAGACCCTTGATCAAGTCCGCCAGCTTCTCCCCGAACTGGATCCGCAACTTACGACACTGGAGGGCGATAGGCCTCGCTCCTCCGACATCGACGTCGCATACAACACCTCTAGCCGCCGGCGGGAGGGCATTTCCTTTGCCGATCAAGAG